TGTCCGGGCTGCACGGTAAGTGCAGATTTGCATTTTCTGTCCTTTTCTTATTAACCACTGCCAGCTTCTTGTTTCTGCCCCAGATTTCAGACCTGTTTTTTCAAAAATTCTCCGCTTAGACTGCTAGAACATTATCCACAACAAGCTCATCTGGTTGACTTAATAATTTGGGATTGACACCCTTCTGCCAAATCGAAACTCGAATCTGATCAGTAGTTGAGGAAGTGGTGCCATTTTTGTAAAAAGAAAGTTTAGTAAAATTTGTTATCTCTCGTACTTCAAATTTCACTGCAAAATGTGTTGCTCAAGAATAGCCTGCGCTAATAGAAAATGAGAATCGCTATTCTTCGGCAGGTATTCTGTGGTCCTCCGCTGAGCGCTTGTTTCTGAACTTAAAACTTGGCTTGCTGCACAAGTCAATATCAAACTACATTCATACCAGTTTTTCCAAAAATGCTAGAACGACCTGGGCAATCACTGCAAGTATCCCATATGGGCGATGTTACTGGGACACTACCGGGCACGACTACGTCCGGCTCTTCGAACCCACTTCCAGCCAGCACTTACCGCCTGTTCTATGTACGTTTGCCACTTGTCGGGACTGGTCCTATGTTCTTTTTTCTTGCGCGTGCCACTCGTTAATCCACAGCGCTGGCAAAGTAAGCAAAACGCCATGCCCATCAGATTTTACTTTCTTCCATTATCGCTATGATATTCTCCATGTTGCACATTTCACAGATCCGCATCTTTAGCCATATTAATAGACACTATTTGTGACAAATTTGAGATGCAGCTGGAATATTATAGCTGGATATTTATATCAGTGAGATGTGGCTCGATCCAGCTTTGGATTACTCGTGGATGCATCCTTGCAAGTACAATCTTTCGTTGAACAGCGTCTTGCTGGAGAGGCTTTGGACACCGAATTCATGTTTTGTTAATTCCAAAACTGCCGATATCCATCGCAGTCCTTTCCCAAATATCTTCCTTATGATTTATGCAAATGGCTCGGTGTGGACGAATTATAGGCTCAAATTACAAGGTATGCATTCTTCAAATTCTTTTTTCCTGGCAAACACACGCACTTGTATAGACACTAGTAAACTGTTTTGTAATGAAGCAACTAGATTAGGCTGCTCTATTCGACGTCCATGGCCTTCATTCCTTCTCCGGTCACACAATTCTTTCCAAAGAACGTTC